TTTATGAGAAAGTCAAAGAATTAAATTGAAGCAAATTAAATAGCATATACTGTATTTGTCATATTTTTATTTGTTTGCATGGTACAATGGTAAACAATGGTAAGCACTGCATTGGATATATTGCAGAAAAACCATGTAGATTTCAAAGCGCTTGATGTGATAGAAGATAGAAAATAATATATTTCTCTTCTTCAATTACTCTTTAGATGTCAGCATAAGAATGATGAAAACATTTTCCGTTTTTATGAAGTGGTTTAAAAGCCTATGTCTGCATATAATTTGGTTCTTTTTTCTCAAATCCTTAGCTCTGTTGGTTTTAAGACTTTTTTTTTTCCTGAGCCCTGCTTCTTGTTTCAAGCCTTTCATTATGGTTCTGTACTTTCCACTCCTGGGCATCATAATACACTGAAAATCTACCTATCAGTCATTTGCTTTAAGTTGGTTTAATTTCCACTTTTCTTAATTTTTTTCAAGATAGTCTAAAGAAACACCCTCATTTACCTTTAGTCTTAGAACCAATAGTCTCACTAGTAAAGTCTTTTCATTGCTCCATAACTCTCCCGCATGTTTACTGCTGTGCAACAGAAATAGAGCCAGGAAAGGACTGTTTTATGCTGAGCAATTACCACCTCTTCCTCCAACCACAGCAAACTCAGTCAACAGGCCTTCTAAGCATGCAGGAGGAATTTTCTTTTCTTTTCTCTTTCTTTCTGTCTGTGTTTTCCCTTCCTTCCTTCTATTCTTTCTTTCAGATAACACTAAACAGCAGCTATTGCTAACTGAAATTTCATACTTACGCAGCAGAACATTCACTGATAGAAAGATAGAAGATCGATAATATTGATGCCAGGTTTAGAATTGCAGACCTGACATTATTTACTTATTTGGAAGAGGTATCCTATCTCCCTAAATGTTTTCTTTTTCTTTTTTGTGTCTGCATTATTACAATTAGTAAAAGAATTCCACATGTATTAGCTGGTTAAAAAGAGGAAGTGAAGTAACGTGTGTGTTCTAGTCAGCATAGAGTGGGGTGTGCTGCAATTTAGCAACTCATAATGAAAAAAAAAAAACTTGTTTTTTCCTCATACTACAAACACAGGACAGGTAATTAGGGGTCCTATTCCCTACCTCTTTAGCCTGGGACCCAGGCTAATGGAGCACCTGCCATCCCAAACATTGCCAGTGGGTGTGGTAGGAGAATGGCTCAACTCGGGGGTGTTTGTCGCTAGCCTGGTGCCACAGAAGCAGGAAGCACTTCCCTCACGGCTCACCTGAAGCTGTCCTGCTCCACATAACCACCAGGATGCCCCAAAGTGCGGCTACCTTGCACTCAGAGGGAACTTGTTCAGGGACTAGAATTACGGACTTTCTCTGTAAGATATTTGTCTAAAGTGCTGAGCTTATAGTAGGTGTTTGCCGAATTTTAGATAACATGGTTATTACTTTGCTACAAGGTCATGAACAAATTACGTTACTTTGCTTAAGTTCCAGTTTCTGTAGAGAGAGGAAATTTTCAAGTTGTGACTGTTTAATTTCAGATTTGAACCTAAAGTACATTTTTAAAATGCTTATGATGAATTAAATGGAAATGGAAAAAGTACGTTACTGTATGTAAAATTCTATAATTCACAGATTAAGGTTGTATTAGCTTGGTGCAAAAGTAATTGCTGTTTTGCCATTACTTTTAATGGCAACAACTCAACCTAATATTTATACTTTTTCCGCTTCCCTGACACATATACATGCACACACACATGCACACACACCCACACACACATAGTCAAACACATATTCACAGTGAATTTCTTTTTTTTCTTTTTTTTTTTTTTTTGAGACGGAGTCTCGCTCTGTCGCCCAGGCTGGAGTGCAGTGGCCGGATCTCAGCTCACTGCAAGCTCCGCCTCCCGGGTTCACGCCATTCTCCTGCCTCAGCCTCCCGAGTAGCTGGGACTACAGGCGCCCGCCACCTCGCCCGGCTAGTTTTTTGTATTTTTTCGTAGAGACGGGGTTTCACCGGGTTAGCCAGGATGGTCTCCATCTCCTGACCTCGTGATCCACCCGTCTCGGCCTCCCAAAGTGCTGGGATTACAGGCTTGAGCCACCGCGCCCGGCCTCATTTTCATCAATAGGAAATTCTCCCTCCCCCTCAAAAACTATCTAGTTTTTTAAACTGAATACCTTAACAACCACGACAGATTTTTGAACACAAATTGAAAGTAGTGAATGCACTCTGAGTTATGTGACCACCAGAAGGCTTTCCAGTCAAGGGCACCTTTAGAGTAAAGCCCTCTCCCTATTTTAAACACAGCATTGTGCCTTCAGTTATTTGCTTTTCTCTCTCTCTCTCTCTCTCTCTCTCTCCTTTTCTTTTCTTTTCTTTTTAAGACAGAATTTCTCTCTTGTCACCCAGGCTAGAGTGCAATGGCACGATCTCGGCTCACTGCAACCTCTGCCTCCTGGGTTCAAGCGATTCTCCTGCCTCAGCCTCCCAAGCAGCTGGGATTACAGGCACATGCCACCGCACTGGCTAATTTTTGTATTTTTAATAGAGACGGATTTTCACCATGTTGGCTAGGCTGGTCTGGAACTCCTGACCTCATGTTCCGCCCACTTAGGCCTCCCAAAGTGCTGGGATTACAGGCATGAGCCACCGCACCCGGCCACTATTTTTTTTTTTTTTCTTTTTAATAAATATCAACAAGGGGGAAATGAATAGGGGTTGCAATGGTAAGAGATGAACTTTCATACATTTAACTTTTTTTTTTCTTTGACTTTTTTATTGAGGACTTTGCCTGAAATTTTGGCTAAGGGTATTTAGAGATCATATGTAACTTTTTGTCACTGAATTTTTAATTTTTTTTCCTTTGCAGGCATTCCATTTTTTTTTAACTTTGTGTTATTTAACCTGAGTTTTTTATGTCGATCTTCTCATTTAATATACTCAGGTTATTGGGAACAATTATTTAATATGAACCACTTTAAAGGTGTTTAATTGACAAATATAGGATATAATATGGTGTTATGATACATGTATGTATGTATTGTGGAATGATTATATTAGGCTAATTAACATAATGTGTACCATTTTAAAATAGTAATTCTAAACTCCAGAACTTAATTCCAATACTTGAAATTTGAAAGGAAAGGGAACAATATCTCTAGTTAGAATAACTTGAAAAATCATCAACAAAAAACCCTTTTTTCATATACTTTATTATTTTTGTTTTGCAGAAATCTAAAAGGCTGGCTAAAGAAAATGTTTATTTTTCTCTTAAAAATTATTCTTGTCACTTTCTTGCAAACATCCACTAGGCAAATCAGGCATAATAGATTTCAAATTTTATAATACATTTCAATTTGACTGCTTTAATCAGAGTCAAACCAAAACAAACAAAAAAAAGGGTAATGAAAACAGCAAATAATAATAACCTTATAATTTTCAATTCATTAAACATTCTTCATCATATTATACTCTAAGGATTATGCAAAATAAATTATAGAAGAGATTATGCGATTCGTTATTAATTCTTTCCCTGCAGGTTTGAGAACCAAAGGACGCTACACTAGTTCTTCATTACAGAAATATGCACTTCATGTAATAGAATCAGATTGCGCCCAGGCATGGCAAGAAGGCCAGGCATAAGCTGAAAAATGAATCTGACAGTTGTCTTCAAATATCGTTTTAGCCAAATGTTTCGAATTTCTCCCAGTGCAGACCTTTGATCAGAGTTGATAAAATCAATCAGAGTTAATAACATCAATCAGAATTAATAGTCTGATGATTTTTGTCACTCTATAATGTTTTCAACTTTCGAGGCGTGAATTATGGCCTTTAACCCTGTCCTCTTTTCATTGCTCCACGGTTTCCCCAATTCTATGGCCAGGATTAGGAAATTTCCTACAGTTAGATTGTGTATCAACCAAATGACGAATTAGCTCTTTTGCTGAAATTATCTAAACATAAGGATTTGTCTGAGCTTTCCAATCACTAAAATTATATTTTCTATGTATTTATTTAAAGTAAGGTTTTGTTGAGTAACCTAACCAAAACTATGCATACATTTGTAATATATATGTACACGTATAATCTGTTTTGATATCTATCTATCATCTATCATCTATCTATCTTATCTATCTATCTACCTACCTATCTATCTATCACAAATTGTTAGTCTAGGTAGTAACCTTTGTCTGTTGGGATATTTGCTATTTTTCCTGAGCTATATTTCTTATTTTCCATTTATGCCTACAAAACTAAGTTTATCACTCCTTCCCTCATTTACATGTTGGACGAAGCCCCTGAGGGACCAGGGCAGATTCCCATTCTACACGTGCACTTGTCATTGTATTTTTCAGAGTTCTTTTTGGAGTTGCTGGGCCCTGAGTTCCAGCTCAGTGTTTTGTTCGTGAACACATAAATCAGAGTAGTGAAGCCCAGGGACAGAAAAGCACTGAGACAATTTCTCTTCTCTGATCGCCTGTTGTGAGTCCTCCTTTTCTGCTCCTGTGGAATCTGTTCTGTAAAATCCAATCTTTTCTCCTCAGCACCATTTTGCACAAAATTCACATATGCACATATATCAGAAAATAATTTAATGTCATTTAAAAAAATTATTTCCAAAGTAAGGCATCAATATGGTGGAAAATTTAAAAATACAGAGACACACAGGATTAAATAATAGTAATAACAATCTATTGCCTAACACTTTCCTGATTCCAGAAGAAACACTTTCCTAATTTCCTAATTCCAGAAAAATTGTTTCTTCTGAAACAATTTTTGCAATTTTTCCATTTCTCCTACTGTTTCCTAAAGTCAAAATCAAATGATTATATGCCTATTTACAAGTATGTCAACTTTATTCAATGTCTATTTTCAGCATAAAAGATGGGGATTTAGTTCACTATCACTAGCCTTCTTTATTTCTTTTTTCTCCAGTAATTTAAAAAGAAATATATTATTTAAAATTATGTTATTAATTCGCTATGTACCTGGAAATGATGTACTTATTTTTCATAATTTCAGTGAGCATCTCAACATCTTTTGTGAAAAAGGAGAACGTGGATGTCACTGGCTTTCTCTTCACGTTATGTGAGTTCCACTTTTATTTTTTTGTTACCAAGATTGTTAGCTTTTGTATTGCAGAAAGGGTTTTTTTGCTGACATGTTTAAGGAAGGAGTTTGTTGATTTTTATGTATTTTGAAAAAATATAAATATTAGATATTTGTACGATAAGCTGATTTAAATCTATTTCTTCTATTTAAAAAAAGTATTTTGGCCAGGCTTGGTAGCTTACGCCTGTAATTCTAGCATTTTGGGAGGCCAAGGCAGGTGGATCACCTGAGGTCAGGAGTTCGAGACCAGCTTGATAAACATGACTAAACCCTGTCTCTACTAAGAAATACAAAATTAGCTGGGCTTGGTGGTGCATGCCTGTAATCCCAGCTACTCGGGAGGGTGAGGTAGAATTGCTTGAACCCAGGAGGCGGTGGTTGCAGTGAGCCGAGATCGTGCCAGCCTGGGCAACAAGAGCGAAAGTCTGTCTCAAAAAAAAAAAAGTATCTTGCTTTGTTGGACATTTTAATAAACGGTGAAATTCAGAAAACACTGACATAACAGGTTAGATAAATAAGAAGAAAGGGCCAAGAGAACATAGGAAATGGGTAACACAATCACAAACACAAAGAAACAATCAGTAGTTAACTTTTTGATTTGAAACGTCAACACAACTGTACAATCACAAAATCACAAAAGAAAAAGTTGACCTTCTAAGTTTAAAGCTTCAGATGAGCATTCACATTCCCTAAGGTGAGTCAAGAAGGTAAGGGCAATTTATTTCTTTAATGAAATATTAAGCCATGCTAATTAATATTAACCTAAATGATAAATATGTGTTTATATATATAGTGGTGTTCATATAATTTCATGTAATGTGTGCATCTGAATAATCTCAGCATGGTTACACTATTAATGCTTGGTACTTTTTGACTTATTTCTCTGAAACAGATCCTTCGCCTGTGTATACACACAGAGACTCACACATAAATCCAGCTCCATGCAGATGTATAGACTTTCGTGATGGGGTGTGTTCAAGGAGGGCAAGGATGGTGCGTCTTCCATTTCTGAAGACCTTGTGACACTTTTAGTCTACCCAATTCTGTTATTTTTTTAGTCAATTATATTTCAAGCAAGATTTAGATCTCTCAGAAATATAAAAGCCAACAAAGGGAAACAACAGGATTAAAATATGTCTAGTCTTCTGGCTATACACCAGAATCTCCCAGACCAGTCTAGAGAATGTGAAACCTCTATAAACCAAAACATACACCAGTAAAATAAAGGTACCTTCAATCTGGTAGGGTAACTAAAAAACAATTTTCTCTTCATTTCATGTGTGTGTGTGTGTGTGTGTATATATATATGTGTGTATGTATATGTGTGTGTATATATGTGTGTGTGTGTATATATATATATAAACATTTTACCCATTAGACATGTCTGAAAGTGAGCATGAAGATACATGGTAGAAACACCTAAAATTTCTATTTAATAAGCAGCAGAATCAATTTATCAATGTTTAAATAGAGGACTCTCAAAAAGTAAAGATGCTATACTAGATGTGTTGAAAAACAGTGAAACAAAATGTCATGGTACTTGTTTGCAATGAAATTACGGTTTATGGGTGTATAAGACATGTATATGTGTTAGTCTTACACTGTGTCCTTCACTACCCATCGGCATACAGGACACAATATAAGCACCATAGCAGAGCTGCAGACAAGATGAGGTACCTATTAAGAATATAGTCACATATCATTTTAGGGGAATATTTAATGCATAAAAATAAATCAAGGAATAGGTTAGTAGTAGTCTATCATTTAAAAACTATTCTGTGCAGAGCATCTCAAATAACATTTTGAATTAAACCAAAACTTAATTTAATACTTAATATTCACTGAAATCTCCCTAAAGGCACATAAAGGATTTACAAAATTTAAAAAAAAAAAGAAAAAGAAAATTTCTCTTTCGAATAAGGCAATGTGTGTTATGCTATTTTTCATGATATAAACTTTTAATTTTAGTATTTTTGAAAGGTAGGTAAAATATTTCTAGTTGCTTAGGGTTCAACGTCTAGAAAATTTAATATGAATAGCATTTCACTAATGAAAGTGCTTTTCTTCCCCCTTCCCCCATAGCCCATCTTCTCCATAAACTCAGTACAACAGTATCAGCTCCCAAACTGAGCTGTCTCTCCACCCTGTGACTTATCAGCACTGATTGCTATCAGCTGTTTCTGGGCCTGCCTGCATTTTGATTCATTGAGGTTTTTCCTTACCTCCCTGTATGGTTCAAGTTTTCTCAAGAGAATGATGGTGCAATGTAATCTATTCCTCAGATATATCAGAAATTTCACAAATGTTTAGGCTTATTGGAGACGATGAGATCCTGAGGGAAAATCCATATACTTTCTTGTAGATTTCAATGAGATAGCAGTCCCATGATTTATCAAACATACATTCAGAAAACCTGCCAAGGGATGAACTTCATTTCTCATTTTCCTTATTTTAAAGTGAAATTTTAACTTCCTAACATTTCTGGCAGTGAGTAAGCAAAGCCCAAGTTTCATATAAAGAAGAGGAATATGTTGGTATTACATCCAGGAGAACATTTGCTTTTGTGCATGTGTATACGCTTTCTATGTCTACCAGTTTTTAGCAGATCCGAATATAAGTCTCACCATTCCCTCTGCTATTGCTGTTAGGAACCACAATACCTTTGACCCAGGAGTCAGAGGGTTTTCATTTTTTTCACAAAAATACATAAAATCTTCAACCCTAGGTAAGCATTTGCCCAGTAACATGCAGATAAACTGAAACTCCATCCATGACAATTACAGAGTAACCCCTGATAGAATAATCTTATGCAGGATGATAAAATGCCCTAGCTGCCAATTACAAGTGCCTTTACAAAGCCGTTTCTCCTGTTTTCTCAGTAATGCTTCATTTGTCTTGCCCAAATTGGGTTTTAGAAAAGTGAAAAGAAGTATAACATTTTAACACAAACATGTTTTCTTTTCTTTTTGGAATGATTGTATAGAATATAGCACATTGAACTTGAGAAAGTAGCTACAAAAGAGCAGATGCTAATGAAAAATACCAGCTGGAATAATCATACTGTTGGATAGTGGCTTCCATATTTATTATATGATCACTAGACCATTTGCTGATGTGAGTTTAACATAGTATATTTAATCACACTTTTCCTCCTATATGTCTGCAGTAAACCGTCAGAATATTTTTCAGATATTAATATCCCCACAAGAAAAAACAGATCCCCACAAGAAAAAACAGATCTTTGCTACTCAATGTGTGGCCTATAGACCAGCAGCATCAGCGTCAGCTGCAAGCTTGTTAGAAATGTTGCTGGCCACGGTGGCTCATGCCTATAATCCTAGCAGTTTGGGAGGCCAAAGTGGGCACATCACTTGAGGTCAGGAGCTCCAGACCAGCCTGGTCAACATGGCGAAACCCGTTCCTACTAAAAATACAAAAATTAGCCACACATGGTGGTGCACACCTGTAATCCCAGCTAGTAGGAAGGATGAGACAGGAGAATCTCTTGAATCCAGGAGGCAGAGACTGCAGTGAGCTGAGATTGTGTCATTGCACTCCAGTCTGGGTTACAGAGCGAGACTCCGTTAAAAAAAAATAAAAATAAACAAATAAATAAATAAAAGAAGAAAGGAAGGAAGGGAAGGGAAGGGAGAAAAGCAGACGTGTAAAATTTCAGGCTCCACCCAGCATTTGTAATAGGATTTCACAATAATTTATGTGCTCATTACAGTTTGGATCCCCTTTCTCAGTTTCACTATCTTTTTATCAAATGTGAATCTGGTGTTAACACACATCTCCACAGCCTGGGTGCATTTACGGTGCAGGAAGCTAGGACAGAGTGCGCAGAGGATGCCCACGGAAAACAGATGCTGCGTGCACAAGGTCAGAAATACAATTCAGCCATTGCTGACTTGTGGCTTGTTGAAATGACCAGGCTGCACAGCCTTCATTTTCAGATCAATAGTCATTTCTTAAATATATTTGGTCCTGGACTCTGATTTCTGTGCAGGGCATAACCATATTTCTCTTAAAAACTTATGATCAGTATAAAATGGCTTTTATAGTGGATTACATCAGAAGAATGGATCTGGAGTGATAACCAGGTATTCTTAGTTTGGGCAATGAGGAATTCTATGAAACACTAGCCTTATAGTAGCTCAGTTTAAAAACAAAATAGTCCTATGAATCTTTCCTTAATATTCCCTTTGGATGTTGTATTTTCAAAGAATAGTCTCAAGAGCAAGAATAAATATCAAGTATAAAATAACTAGTTAGTGCTAGTGAATAGTTTTGGAAACAACAAAAGTCCTATTCAGATCTAGGCAATATTTGAGCCACATTTCTTCTGACTTGGATTAACAGTCACATCTGTAATCTGCTTTGTGGCTGCGGCACAGTCAGAATACATTCGGATGGCAGATCCCTAAGGCAATGGAAAGCAGCTTAGTGGGACACACTGAGGAGTTGGTGACAAGGAGTCCTCTCAACTATCTGCTGACTCCAGATCAACAACTCCAGACACCGATACCACACTCAGATCTCTAAGCCTCTTCAAAAACAGAGCCTCTTAGACGATTCTTTCCTAAACCGCCAGTTTTTCACTCCTTTAATTCATCATACCCTATGATCTGTTGCTTCTTGAGGATGTAGGCATGTCTTCTGGTAAGAGCCAACAGAACAATCGCCTCCATGTTAAAGGACAATTTGAAAAGAAAACATACTTTGGAAAGCCAAAATGGTTATATATGTGCTTAAAATTCGCTTCCAACTGTTGGAGTTAAAACTTTACTAAACGATCAAAAATACAACATAGTTTTATATTTTATTTCTATGGGAGAACACTTGAGAGGGAAATACACGCTGATGTATCACCTCATATAAACTTTTTCAGATACAAAAGCAACAAGTTTTTTCCTTAAATCATTAATTTTCTTTTTTCTGAAATTCACTTCTGGATAAAAATATATGATTTATATATATTATGTGTACTCAAAATATTCCAGATATAAAAAGCCTTAAAATCATACCTGTAGCTCATTCTAAAACTAAAGCTACACAATTACATTAAAAGAAAATAAATAAATAAAAATTAGAAATTGCTTTAGCTGCATATTAATGATTTTCTACTACCTCCTAGATCAACAGATTGTTTTAAATTTTAAATTTTAAAAAATAGATTTAGGGGGTACATGTGCCGTTTTCTTACATGGGTACCCAAATAGTGTACATTGCACCCACTAAGGAATTTCTTATCCTTAACCATCTTCCAACCCTCATGCTCTTCTGAGCTTCCAACATCTGTTATTTCACTCTCTTTGTTCATGTGTACACATTCTTTATCTCCCACTCATAACTGGAAACATGCAGTATTTGACTTTCTGAGTTATTTCACTTAAGATAAAGGCCTCCAGTTCCATCCATGTTGCTGCAAAATACATGATTTCATTCTTTTCATTCTTTTTATGGCTGAGTAGTATTCCAATTGTGTGTGTGTGTGTGTGTGTGTGTGTGTGTGTGTGTGTGTGTGTTATTTTCTCTATCTAATCATCTGTTAATGGACACTTAGATTTATTCCATATTTTTGCTGTTGTAAATAGCACTGCAATAAACCTACCAGTGTAGGTATCCTTTTTGATACAATGATTTATTTTCCTTTGAGTAGATAGTCAGTGGTGGAATCAATGGATCCAACAGTAAATCTATAATGCATGCTGAAGATGCATTTCAGGGATAGGTTATATCCAAAGAACTCAAATTTAAGTTCTATGAGAGATAGATATTTAGAGCAAATGAGTGGTACTTGAGTTATCCTAGCCTCTCCCCTTCCCACATTTTCCCCTGATAGGAGAATATTTTCCTCTTCAGCTCTATGTGAACACCTGTCTTTACTACAGGGTGGTTGTGGGTGTTAAATTGTTTGTTATATCCTAGACAAAAGGCATGGTGCAATATCTGACATACCACAGGTGTTCCATAAATGCCTGTCATTGTTATTGTCTGTGGGAATGTCCTACTATTAAAGTTCTAGTAGTAATAGCAACAATTATTAACATGGAAAAGGGAGAGAAAAAGGAATCCCTGAGATAACTAGAAAAACGTTTGCTTTTAAATCTTGACATTTTCTGAAAATTTTTCTAAGCATATTTACGAGCTAAAATTCCAACACTTGACTTAAATATCTTCTTATGTGAAACAACTAATTAATCAATGAATACATAATCTGCTTCTCTGTCAATTTGCTATCTTTTATGGTTATGAACTTTCTTCTAAAATAATCTGTAGTCTAAATTTAAACCTAGCCTCTTTATTATATAAGAATGCTTATAGCATTTTTTTCAATAATTTAGTCCAATAAGTCACATAGATTAAAGGTGTCTCTACATATATATAATTTAAACATTTACATTGCCACATAGAAAGTGGTTTTCTTTTTCCCCCAGTGTTGATGATGATAGTTCCTGTGTGCTTGCATTTATATTAGCCAAAAGAAATGCTTACAGGATTGAGGAAAGTTGCTGAGTAGAGTTGCTGTTTAAAGATTTATAGATGTGTGAGAAGTATTGCTATAAATTAGCATCCCCAGATTGGTCTAATTATGTCTGTATCTCACAAGCCTTTCAAATATCTAGTATTCTTTGCTATCTCTGCTTACACTTAAATCAGTTCTCTCTATGATGGAATGATGGATGGGGGCTTAGTTTGACAATAAGACACTATCAAATGGATGAAATATTGGAATAAAATAACTATCTGAAAGTAAGAATGTACTATTTACACTCTGTTAAACTCACAAAAATGGTAACAAAACATGGCAAACTGTGGTGGATTTGAAAAAGCTTCGTGGCAAATGCCAGTACCTATCTCCAGCATGGTACAAAAATGTTGAAGTATGACATTTACAGTGAGTATAGCTTAGGAGGATGAGAGATTTTGGAAGTATTGTATATTTTCTACTACGGTTGCATGTTAGGTTAACCAGGAAGCATTTCGCTTAGAGGTACTTTTAATCACATCCTTACACCCATACTAAACATTTTGTCTCACCTAGCAGTGTGCAATGACTTTCTGCACATCCATTCCAGTTGAACTGATCCGACGTGAATTTCATCTCCAGCGCTTAGAGATGATACCTTGGCAGTTCTGTTCTAAATGGGGAGAATAGCAGTGAGAGGGCCTATGGGAAAATAAGGCCTTCAAAACCCCCTACCTGAAAAGACCTCCGTTTGTTAAGGTGGAATCAGACACTGCTGAAATCTTCAAAGGGACGAGGGTTAGGTGTGAAGTCTGGAGGAATAAGAAATACAGGTGCTCTAATGAACAGCACTGGCTAACTTTGTATTATTATTATTATTATTATTGTTATTATTAGCCTATCAGAAAAGACATATCATTCATGTCAAAAGACAAAGTATTTTTTAACCATGTTTTAAAAAAATCAGGCTACAGAGTGTAGATTTAAATATTGATCGTTTTTTAGACCGGCATGAACTATACGGCCCAGCTGTCTGTGCAAACGCTGTGGCGACGATAATAACCGATGATAACCTCACCGCAGCATCTATCATCTTGGCAGAGTTGTTTGTTAAGATCAGTGAAGATCCAGAAAAATCAGGCAGCCTGCTGCTTGGTTTTGCCAGGAGTAAACGTACTGAAGGATACCGGGAGGACTGGTCATTATTGTTCTTCTTGAGGTTGCTAGTATTATTATTATTATTATTATTATTATTACAGAGGCCAGCGCTGCTTTTGGGGTGAAAGAAGACCATCAGCAAACCTCAGCCTTGCCGCCAGGACTCCACCGTCTTCTGTCCGAGTCTGCGGGTCCGCAGATTGCGGCAGGGAGGCCCGGGCACCCGCAGGTGGCGCCCCATGTCCGTGTTTGCGCCCTCGCCCGCGCTCCAGGCGCAGCTAGGAAACCCAGCGCGTCTCCCCGGGTCTTTGGAGCCAGCGCGGAGACCGCAATTTAATAAATAAGCGCGAGTGCCAGCCGCTCCACCAGCCCAAGGTTCAGAGGAGCAGACACACAGACCCGGGCCGGAGGCCCCTCTTGTAGCCCTGCGGGAACCGGACAGTTCCCCAACTGGGGACTCTGGAACCACAGCTCCTAAATCATCAAATTCTCAAGCTTTTTTTCCTCTCTTCGTCCCAGTCATCCCAGTCATCGTCGTCTTCTTTTTTTTTTTAAACTTATTGTTTTTTTCGCCCCTTTCATTATGAAAGTGGTCACGCCATTCAAGATTAAGACTTGGAGGGAATTGGGGAAAGAAAAGAAAGAATCTAAAAGAAGAGAAGCGACCGGTGCTTTTAAGGGTGCCTAATTTTCAAACGAGACGTCTGGGAGGATTTTGCTCTGGGCGTTTGGGTGAGCTGGACGGGGGCATTGGAGGGTGCGGCGGGCTTGGGAGCAGGGAAGGTTCGGAGTCCTAGGGCGGCGGCGGCGCTCGGCTATGCCCTCTGGAGACTGGCGGGGCTGCGGGGCCGAGGGGATCCGCGATGGAGCCGCGCTGCGGGCGCGCTGGGCGCGGGAGTGCGAGGGGCCCCAGGCAGCGGTGCGGGCGCGAAGCCCAGGGACTGGAGGCGCCCAGGCGCACAGCGCGGGGCGCTGAGCAGGGCGAGACGCGGGGTTCGCGGTCCCGGGCGCGGCGCCTAAGCGGGCGCGCGGGGCGCGGGGCGTGGTGCACCCCTGAAGCGGCGCAGGCTGGAGCGGGAAAGCGGCAGGGCGGGGCGGCGCGGTTATTGGCCACGCGCTGGGAGCAGGGTCGCGCTCCGTGTCCTCCTCCCGACAGCTCCCACTCGCCTCATTTTCTCTAAGCAGAGCAACTTCGCTGACAGCGGAGCTCACCCAGCATGGATGTTCCAGGTAACCACCCCCGACCTGCCCTCCCCTCCGCGTGCAAGCGCCTTCTGCGTGGATTTTAACCAGGACTCTCGCTGGTCCAGATCGAGGGGTGGGGGAGGTGGAGAGAGAGAGAAGGGAAATAATGTAGGATCGGGGCTGCGGACAGCGATATTTATCAAGAGCCAACTTCTCCGTTCTTAGAAAGAATATTGGAAGAGTTAATGGGAGGCTGTGGGCGGCGAGGGGGCGGTTTCTCTGCGTGTCTCTGGGCTGGTATTGAAATGGCCGGTCTGCTTTCCTGGGAGGAGCGGGGACGGGGCAAAAGTGCAGATGGGCGCGTAAGTTCGCAGAAACCTGCAGGGGCTGCTGCCCAGCCAGAAAGAGAGAATCCCCTGGGTCTGGAAACAAGAGCTGGAGAATAAGCCAAGCCTGGGATTCCGTCGTTGGAATCGGTCCTTCCGCGGAGAGAGGAATCCCAGGGGTTTCACCAAGGGGGCTCGCTAGTGGCTGCAGGGACCTTGGAAGTGAGTGTTTGGTTTTACTGCCTGTGTGTGTGTGTGTGTGTGTGTGTGTGTGTGTGTGTGTGTGTGTGTGGTGTCATTTTTCCCCTGTTAATCTTATTCGCCCTAAGGAGATTCCTGGGGTTTGTTCTTCGGGTGGAAAATAGATAAAACCTGTACCAAAGGGACTTAAATGGACTTTAAAAACATCTCGAGGATTGAAAAATAGAGGATAGCAGGGAAACAAGGGAAAGGAAAAGGGTTCCTTGGTGCTGCTCCAAGGAAATGCCTTGAGATGAAGGCGAGAAGGCAAGCATTCGTAGGTTTTTCTTTGCCTACGTCTTAGCCCCCTCCGCGCTGGTAAATGGGCGGGGTGGCGGTGACGCCTTCTGAGGGTCTCGGGGCCCGTCTTAGCGACGAGGACCTGCACAAGCGCGGCCCCCTCCCTTGTCGCAGGCCCGCGCGCCGCTCGGGAGCCTTCAGGGATGCGCTGCCCGCTGCGCCCGGGCGTTTCTCCGGACCTGTTGTGCCAGATCGGAAAGCGGGTTGGCTGTGCGCGGGACCAAGGGGGTGGCCTTCGGGGAGAGCCCCCGAGCTGCAGGCATCTGCTCCCAGTCCCCCTTCTTCCCGGTGGCTCCACCTCCCGGTGTAAGGCTTTGGGTTCTGTGCCCTGACAGGTCCACGGGCGCCTTTCTTCTGAGAACGACCCTGGCCTTGACCGTCAGAGCGGGGGACAAAGGCCCGCGGAGGCTGCTGCGGGCCCCGCGCGTTCCTGCGCGCCCTTCCGCGCCGCTCGCGCCCCCGCCGGCCTCCGCCCCCGCGCGCCGCCTCCCACCAGCCCCGATGCAGGCGCCCGGCCAGGGGCCCCTCGGGCTGCGGCTGACGATGCCCTGGCGCCGGGGGGCGCTGCGCGAGCCGGGCGGCTGCGGATCCTGCCTGGGGGTGGCGCTGGCCCTGCTGCTGCTGCTGCTGCCCGCCTGCTGCCCCGTGCGGGCGCAGAACGACACGGAGCCCATCGTGCTGGAGGGCAAGTGCTTGGTGGTGTGCGACTCCAGCCCGTCGGCGGACGGCGCCGTCACCTCCTCCCTGGGCATCTCCGTGCGCTCCGGCAGCGCCAAGGTGGCCTTCTCCGCCACGCGGAGCACCAACCACGAGCCGTCCGAGATGAGCAACCGCACCATGACCATCTATTTCGACCAGGTCAGCCGCCAGCCTGCCCACCCCGCCCCCAGCCCGGGGAGAGGGGCGGGGATCTGCGCGCGCGGGCTGGGGTTCAGGCTTCTTGGACGTGGAGTTCCCAGGCTCTGTCCTCCCCCTCTGCCCTGCTACTCTCTTTCCTCCCGTTTTATAGAACGCACTCCTACTCTTTCCCTTTTCCACATTGTGGCTTTTTAAAAACTTTTAAATGATCAGCCAACTTGGCACTTGGATGACTGAGAGTCCCTTAAGGCTGTCTAAGCTTTCTAAGAGTTCCGTAAACCTAAAGATTTGAAATGTATTTCCCAAAAGGAAGCATTGCACGTTTTACTTTTCACGGCGGTGTGGTTGATGGTCTTCAGTCACCCAGGTGCCCACCTGAAGGATTGAGTGCATTTAAATCTCTCCACTCTCAGAAAAGGACTCTTCCCAAGTCTCTGCCAGCATTTGGAAAATACAGCCTATTGCTTATTTTGAGGAATGGATTGGGGGAGGGATGTTTATCTTAAAAAAAAAAAAAAAAAGAAAGAAAGAAAAAAACGTGAGGACGAGCAGGGATGGTTATATAAATACTAAACAAAATATTGTGATTATATAAGTAAAATATATAGTAAATAAAATATATACCATAAGCAAATGCAATATATACAAATCTTTTAAAAGAGCAGTGACTTACATCACCTTAAGCCACTTAACTTATGCCATTTGGTTCAATGCAGAGGTCTCAGAGATATGATCAGGCCTTTCCAAACCCTTCTCTGGATTATTGGTGCCCAGGGTTAAAGGCTGTAACCTTCTTTTTGGGTCCCGCTCGCCTGGTTTCTGTTGTTTTTCAGAAAAAAAATTAAAAGCATTATAGAGATTTCCAAGCTTTAGCTAATTAGCTAATTGCCCAATCATTTTACCAAAGTGTTTCCCACAGAATGGAGCGCCTAGCAGTCCCTGACAACCTACCAGGGCTTACTGTACGTGTTTAATTGACTTTCTTTTGGTCTGTTAGGCAACTCTTAAACTTAATAACCATAAACCTACAGACACACACTCTTGACTCTATTTAAGCCACGGTATTTATTTCTTAATCATTGTTAAGCTTCAAGTATTTGAGGTTTTTTTTGGGGCGGGGGCGGGCGGAGGCATGTGTCTCTTTAATTCATTTTTTTTTTTTTTACAAAATGTAAAATTATTTATTTTGATTATGTCCAAATGAGACAACAATGGAATAGGCATTTGGGAACTAATACTCTATTAGTACGGTTTCCTTTATATGCTGTTATTGTTATATTATTATTATTCACTTACAATGTCTTGCAAAGTTTTCATAGCATTTTTATATCCCTCTTTGCATTTGTGTATCAAGAAAGCTCTGTGATGTAGGGCAGGATAAGTAGTAGCAGGATTCTAATTTTATACATGAGCAAACTATGGCAGGGTGCGTTCAATGTTTCTCTGGCTCCCCAGTTAATGAGGAGCTGAGGTCTGCTTTTCTGGGTCTGGTTGGGTATTCTTGCATCTACAGCAGGGATAAATTCTACCTGAATTTATCAGCTTCCAGAATGTAAAATTGAGATGAAGGAGTTGAGGTGAAAGAAAGAAGCAGCTCCGGAGGCTTAAATGGAGACTGCTTTATCCTTTTCTAAAGCTTTGTAAGGAAGACAGCGAGCATAGCCTTATGAGACTGAGAATAGGCATCCCGAGGTGCTTGTCTTAACAATGGAGCCCAGAGTGTCTGTCTCAGTCCTGCCCTTGAGTGGAGCTGAAGTGGTGCTCCCAGCTGGGTTGAAGAAGCTGAAACAGGCATATTTCACAAGTCATTTCGGCGATCGTCATTGGCAGCATTTCACATTGCGTTGGGAATTGCATGTTATTTATCTATAATGAGCGTGTAAGAAATAACAGCAAAGGTATTGCGGTTGAAGTTTATATTCTCATTAGATCACAAGATCTTAAACCCAGGATTTTGATGTTGTTGCTGGCTGTTTATTTTAAAAGGCAGGCCATCTTATTATTATAAAGGAGTTGTGCATTTATGGATGAGGATGGAGATGGCATCCAAAGTGGCCAGAGTCTGTGATGAACATCTGAAAGAAATTGGGTCATCATGGGGGTCCCGCCACTCTTGAAATTCTGCTTATGAAACACTCACTCCTGCCCTTTTATCTGAGAAAAGCCATCTGCAGGGTCATGAGCTCATTCCAGGTGGCTAATTTTGTCATTGTTTTGCATGTTGTAGAGTTTGCATTAGCTTAAGCTAAGGATGTCCAAGCTGCCGATTCTCTATTTATTCAAGCTCATTTACAGGGCACCATAGCTCAGGCAAGGGAGCAGCACATTGCTCAGGGAAAAGTAAGGAAAAGCAGGAGTAGCAAATGTTTTTCTGCAAAGGTCTTTCATTCAATACCCATCATCGACTACCTACTGTGTGCGTCCAGAGTGTGCCAGGCACTGGGAACCACTGGAGATCCACACCTCATACAGCCCATTGTCTCTGGGAACACATGAAGTTAGGTCCCAAGCTTGAACTTGCAGAAGTGATCTTTAATTGGCCTCTTGCTCCATAGCCCCTTCTCTACCCACTCAGAATCGAACTCTTTTTTTTTTTTTTTTTTTTTTGTCAGACAAGGTATCATGTTGATGTACCCATAATCCCGCGGACCTCCCTGGACTCAATTTAGGATTTAACAAGCTTACAAGCTTTGATTCCTTTCTCTCTGCCCTGCCCCTTTAACTCACAAAATTCACAGCCGGTTTTTGAATGCATAAATAAAATATGCTTTAAAAATGTTGATTAGTTACAATGTATTAAAATACCTTTGAGATTACTTCCTGCTGTAGGATCTTTTAACTTCAGCACTGCTTCCTTTCTGGGAAGCCAGAATGCTGAGGATGCTGAATTTGTGTTCCCAGCCGCTGATGAAGGAGGCAGTGTTGCTGGTTATCCAAGGATGATGAAAACATACACTGAGGAGGGGCTTGCTATTGTGTGCTGTGTTCCCTCTTCTTTTTCAGGTATTAGTAAATATTGGCAACCACTTTGATCTTGCCTCCAGTATATTTGTAGCACCGAGAAAAGGGATTTATAGCTTCAGCTTCCACGTGGTCAAAGTGTACAACAGACAAACCATCCAGGTGGGTAGACTTGAAACTGGATCCTTTCAGGTTTGGGTTAATAGTTCCCCATCGCTAAAGACCCCTGCACCTGGTCTCTGAGGTTGAGGGAAACAGGGTATTGGGCTATTTAGGGGTGATGCGGCTCTGAACTAGCTGGGAGTGCTCACTGTCAGGCCCCCTGATGTGTACTGGAAGGGTAGGACGGGGGTGGGAATGGGGATATTGGCAGCGGAGAGAACAGTGTGTAGGAGTTGGGTCCTTTATGGTCTGCTGAGCTCTACTCTCTGCATTTTAGGTCAGTTTAATGCAGAATGGCTACCCAGTGATCTCGGCCTTTGCAGGAGACCAGGATGTCACCAGAGAAGCTGCTAGCAATGGCGTGCTGCTGCTCATGGAAAGGGAAGACAAAGTGCATCTCAAACTTGAGAGAGGCAACCTCATGGGGGGTTGGAAATACTCCACATTCTCGGGCTTCTTGGTGTTTCCTCTATAAACACAGAGCACCCTAGATGGTGGGGGAATGGCAATCTGGACCCAGGAATCCGCCCTTTAAAACACCCTGAACTTGCTGGAATTGGGACACCTTGTTTCCAACCTCCATCAGACTGTTGCTGTAGAAGAATGATTTCCTTTGAAACCTCCAGTACTTTTGTTTTTGTTTTTTGGAATATTGACAATTCCTCGGGAACCTGGCCTCTAATTAGTTTTAGATGACAAGGTCTTAAGGAGAAATGAAATTATCGATTTGAGCAATTTGTACCTGTGATTGTAAAGTCAATATCGGATTTTATGGACCTCTTTTGTTTGTATGTTATATTGTTGTCCCAATGGAAGGAGAGCTCCTGATTCCAGGATGGACTGCAGGTTGCAGTCAGGGCTTGAAGCAGGAGCCCAACAAAGAACCACCTGATGGACAGTCCTTGACATGTGTTCTGTGTGCGTCTGTATAGCCTTAAGAAAAAGAATGGCTTCACTTTCATTCTGTATTCTTCCCCCCACCGTGTGGATGGGAGGACTTGGGAGGGGGATGGGGACATTGTGAACCTGTCAAGAAGTGCTTTATCCAGAGAAGCAAGTTTTGCACGATTGGACTGCAGCTTTTGTTTTGTATTGTTTGTGTTTTTTCTTGAATAGCTTTACTTTTCTTTCCACACTCAGCTCTCCCTCCTCAACCCCACTTTTATTTTTCTTGCTGGGATTGGGGAGAGAAAATATATGTTGAATTCCTGGATAAGACCAAACAAAACAAAACATTAAAATACCTGTATGTTTTGTTTTAGACGAGACCAAACCAAACAAAAAGAATCTGTTTATCGAAGTAAAAATAACACAATGTACAATTCGGCTTAGTCTCTCAAAGAGATTCTAAGATGCACCTTTATAACTATTAATAGCAACCTGGATTTTTTTAAAATTTATACTTCAGAATGCTTTAAGAACCTGGTGTTCCTGGGTGGTCCTGAATTGTATAAGTTGGGAATGGAAGCTGTAATGACCAAGTCCCCTAAACATACTGCTTCTTTGCCACGTGTGCTGTGACTTCTCAGCGGGTGTTTTAATTTATTTGGATCCACCTCTGAGTGAGCGCACAGTGATCAGGTGCTTCGAAGCCAACAGACCAGCTCCTCTTCCTCCGGATCCTCTTTTGATCTGCCCAGGAAAGGGATGCATTGCCACTCTCCTGCATGCACCTGGCGAGAAGCCACCTGGAAGTCACTGTGGTTAAAGATATTGGTGGAGGTACCCCAGGAGCACTGTTACAAATCCTTCTTGTTTTGGCACCTCTTACAACAACATTATTAAAACACAGCTGAGAGTTGATGGGTGTGTAATTCATATGCCAAGGAAATGTCACTGATCCCAAAGCAATCAAAGAGGAGACCTCAAACCAGATGTTAATTTGTTCTTTGTGTAACAATGTAACCAAAATATTGATGATGAAAGTCATAATTTAAGATTCAGAATAAATGGGTTTGATGTCTGGCTTGCTCTTATCCTCCACTTCGTCTCCCAACTCGTAAAATGTGTGGAAGTAAAGGCCGACTGTCAAGGACCTGGGGAAGATAAATCTATACAGTGCCTCTGTAAAAAAAAATGTACTCTCAAACACACACACACCGGTATGTGCAGACCTGGCTGTGGGTCTGGATGGATATTGTACACTTAGATATATTTCAGTTTATACATATGTATTCTTTAAAAGGAAGATCTTGGGGGAGATATGTGAAAAAGACAGCTTAAGAAGGTTTTAGGGATAGGCAGTCTGCTTTTATCACATGTCATCTTTGATGTGGTGCAAGTTCCAATCCAGTATTTTCATCAGTGAACACTGATATAAAAGAAACTAACATTTTAAGAGCATAAGTTGTTTCCAAAAATGTGTATGTGAGGATGGAGAGGAATTAGATTCCATTTTTGAAAAAGAAATTCAGTGGTGATTATATAAATGACAAAATGTATAGTTTGACTAAGGGTCTAAGTTTTACTTTCCTCGGATGAAGAGCATAATGGGATGCAGAATTTTATTTGAATTGAAATGCTGTTGCATTTTGTGAGGGAAAAAAATCAATAAAAGAGCATTGGGGTACCTTGGCTTTGTGATTAGGAGACATACTTCTAAATAAGAATATTATTTGTGAAGGCTGATAACATAACGAGAAGGATGCTGGAATATGGTTTATTACTCTTGGTTATTTTAGTCCTCTTTCCCCCATTTCCTTAAACTTATGTTCAATTTCAAACAGGAGACCTCGTTAGAGGACAGTATAATATTCCACAGATTGAAGCGTATACAAGTACTTGTTACTTTTGTCACTTAATCATATATAACACATGTATGTTTGTATTTACACCTTTATTACATACAGGTTGTTATTGGGCTATCCTGGCTAATAAGCAGCCTATTAATTCGACAGTTTAAACAAGAGTATAGTTCAGGTGTTTATTTTGTATTAGAAAAAACATGATATCCTGATTATTCTACTTTAGTTCATCATCTTCTTCTTCTTTGTTTTCTTTTTCTTGAGATGGATTCCAAAACCTGCCTTAGGAAGGAGCCATGCTGCCAGTGTCCCTAAAGTGGTTTCTCATCCCCTGCAGCATCTGCCAAAGTTCTGTTTGGCTGAGGATCTATGAGGCATCTGAAGCTCCTGTGTTTTGTCTACAAAAATATATAGGTCAGATCAAAATGTAAAATATGTATTTTTTTTTTGGAAAAAAAAGAGAGAGGTCTCTGTAACATCTGAAGGGCCATCTGAGCCCTGTCTCTGAGTTTCAGTTTTCTCATCTGGGTGAGGGCAGTAGCCCTGCCAGGTCCCCCACCTCACAGGACAGCTGTGAGGACCGCACAGAAGTGCTTTGAAAGCTGGAAGGCACCAGGATAACATGGGGTGTGTTCTTGGCAGGGAAGGTGTTTCTGCAAAAGCATATTTTTAACATGCAATTTATGAAAAAAAAATGACTGACGGACAATTTTATGAAAGTAAATATCCATATTTCTGAATAGACAAAACTGTAGTACTGGGTTAGAATTTTGTCTCATTTGATTGTAGGGATGATGATAATATCAAAATCTATATGTTGTAATATTAACTCAATTCTCAATTATGTTCTTTGGCTGTCCTGTGTGGTTCAAGTTCAGCTCTCTGCTTCTGTGTGGAATGCCAACATTTTATAAAAATATACAACTGTAATATTTTTAACACAAATAAAAAAATTAAGTAGTAATGTTATGGACAGTAAATTGCCTTGGCTGATAAATATTAGCCCTACTAAATTGTAAATGCTTATAAAACAACACAATTTTTTAAGTTAAAATATATTCTAATTTAAATCACACACTTGATGAGTCAGCTCTAGGTCCTGAGAAACTATGTTTACTATCTGTAATTTCTGAGCCTTCATTGCATCCTAATAATTTTGATTTATGTGTTCATGTATATGTGAAATTATCTACAGTTTTAAAGTGTGTGCTTATAATAGCGGCTCAGAGTAAAGGTGATTAAAAACTTATTGAATATTAGCATAAAAACTCACAGAATCCTGTGAGATTCATAGATTTACATAATCCTGTGAGATACATAGATTCATAGATTTACCTGTTTGAAAATATTTTAAAGCTAAATCTAATTATATTAAGCATCAGAAGAATTAGAAAATATATATATAAAGCCAAAAACATTTGTTGAATCTTTAACTTTATTTGTAGTATTTTCTTACCATCAAGAAATTACAGTGGTCACATATTAGTAACTATCACATAAATACTGTTTGCTTGTGAATACATGAACATCCCCCTCTGAATTTTTAGCGTAGAAACACAAAATAAACTGCAGGGTTTGGCCACATACTCCTGGAATCGAGAAATATGTGAGAGGAAAATTTGATAAATTATTTTATGCAAGCAAAATAAAAGCGCTGGTTGTTCCAGAATACATTAGATGTCGCAAAAGGAACAAAGAATGTTCTGTCAATTTGTAGGACCATAATTTTGCAATCTTTTATAAGGAAAAATGTTGCAATGAGATATAATGTTTGTGTGAATAAAGTAGTGAATGTGTGTTTATGTTTTGACAGCGTAAGAAGTATATAATAACCTAATGCACAGATACACATGAATGTAAGGTTCTTTTACATTATGTTTAAGATGGGGAACTCATAGAAGGAGCTTACAGTGAATCCTTCTAAAGATTTATTGAGTACTCTGTGAAAACACTTGTAAAAATGTGGAATGATTAACTGTAGAACTACAATGAGTTTTGCCCTTCTGCCTTGCTTATATGGAGATTTATTTGTCATTGGGATTCTATTTCTAAAGCTGGCACTTTGCTACTAAAATGGGATATTACAAACATATTTTTAAATTTAATATCAAAGCCTGTTAATTCTCATGAGACTCTTAAAATTATTTTCTCTTGACATTTAAAGAGCAAGCACACCAAATATACTGAAGTATGTTAAAATACAAATTTTGCTTTGGTTTTATCATTTGATGCTTTTTGTGCTCTGTATCTTTTTTCCTATGATACACTATGAAGAAATTAGCTGATGATGACCACAATTATTAGTCAAATGTGTTCGCGTATTTGCCCTGCATTTTAAAACTTATTTTTGCAGAGAGAACTCACCAAAAGGCATATTTACTGCCTTTGCAGATGGATGGCTACAGTTTTTAAAGATATTTTAAACGTCTGCTTTGTTACATAGCTATCCATGATGCAATTGGACAGATCCAGTCCTCAAATCCCCAGTCCCCAAAAGAAGACATCACATTAAAAATCCTTCATAAGATCCAATGGATGTAAAATTTTAAAAATGGGCATGTATGCAAGTCTGTATAATAGCATTATGCTCAAACATGAATCTTAAGTAAATGAGCTTTCCTTGCATTCCCAGACCCAGTGGGGTAACTTGAAATTTGTAAGGGCAAAAGCCACGTGATTGTGCCTCCTACAGATAATAGGAGTTCTGTTTTATCATCCTAAGTGGGTTTTGCTGTGGATTTCCATCACCAGAATTACTCAAGTGTCTATAGCAACATAAATCATCATCTTCATCAGCTCACCCACATATACTCACTCTGTAGTGTAAATGAGCTCCTTGACAACTTAATTTGGAAAAGAAATCTTCATTCCCTCTTCTTAATGCCTACGGCAGGACTCCCCATGGTTAGAATGCTGCTTTGCACTGAGGCTATCCTAACAAAATGGAAGCTACTAATTAATGAGCCACTACCACTCTTGCAACCTGACTAGTAATGAATGTAACTTTTATTATTGTTCGCCTGCTTTCTTCAGGAATGCTGACTTCTTTTGAATTTGTATCAGGTTGCAATAAACACTGAGTTGGAGAAGAATGTTGGCAATAATCTGGAATGTGAAACTCCTGAATATTTTGCTGAAGTCTGTTTGATCTAACTTTATTCATGTAAAAATACTTATATTAATCTCTTACGTCTTCAAAGTCCTTTAGGATATAGGGGCATTTTCTTCACTTTATACCAAAAAGAAACATTTCCTGTGATTCTGGGTGCAGCATTATTGTGGAGCTGACACAATGAAAATATTATAGGAAAAAGAATATCTAAAAATAACCAAATTAATTGAGAAAAAATTGGCAAATTTTTCTTACTACTAAAATCCCTCATTTGCAGTGTTTTTACGTGGATCTTAAAGATTCCCTCCAGTCTTTATTATTCTATGTAACATTATATTATTCTATGTAACATTTATCTTCGAATTGCTAATTTTCTTTTATAATTCTTTCAGAGAGGAGATTATCACTGAAACACAAATGTAGGACATGAGAATGTGATACTATCTTCTTTTCTAATTCCCAAGCACCGTGTCAGGATGTCATAGCACAGTTTTTGTTCTGAAATTGTAAACTCTTAAGTGGAAGAAGCAATTATAGGATTTATAAAAAATGTTCTATTCTTTTGGGAACAGAGTATAGATATTTTCTTTTCATTTCACAACATTTATGTATAGCAGCCCAGGGGCCAGAGAATGTGCTTAAGGATGGTGATAGAAAATTGAAGATACCCTCGGTGTGCAAAAAGAGCTTGCAGTCCTTAGAAAATAGCATTCAGAATCATCTGGGAGGATACTCAGCTAAACTGATGGTGAGGGTGTGGGCTGGGGTGGGTGAGGTGGAAATGTAAATGCATATTTACTGAAGTGAATAATATAATTTCATTTTTTACATATGAGGAAGATAATGTTATTGTGACGTTGACATTGAATACTGAATATCAGTTGATATCCTGACTGAAAGGGCCTTCCATTTTGAATATGGCCACAGGTCTAGCAAACCAATTGCAAACTAGGGCTTGTGAACCAACCTTGGAAGCATTGAAGTGGACAGGAAGTGGCAGAGAATTTCCATCATTTAAAACATGAAGAGTAAACTATAGTAGCCATTTTTGCAGTTTATTATATTTTCTTGTCTTCTATGTAGTGAATTACTTCGGAAGACAGAAGGCATGCTAGAATTAGTCAAATCCTTAGAAGATAGTCATGTAGCAAGATACAAATGAGGCATGATTTGAAGGCTATCTTAAACAGAACTGAATGGGGGACCGTTTTAACCCATTGACTTTTTTTTTTTTTTTTTTGCAAGATATTAACTTACTGAATAAAGGCATAATGTAAGAAGAAACAAAGGATAAATGTGAGACCAAATGGCACCGGAAGAAAGTTTGAATTCTGTATGTTTTATACAGCATTTAGGTATAGCATCCTAGGATCCACACACTAGGGGCCGGACACACATGTGTGAGTGTGTGTGTGTGTTTGAATATAAACAAATACTTATAGTCAAAATGTAGCCACTACAAAAATGCCTCTCGTGTCCCTGAAGCTGCCCCATTCCTGAAACTTGTTTTCAGCAGATGAGGAGATGATGGGCCCAAGGGCCTTTACCCATTACATGCTTCTGCTAACTTTTAATCTCAATTATTTGGTCCATGTTTCACATTTTATTTCTTGTGTTCAATCTTAGGAGTTTATTTCACCAGAAGGTAGAAATTACATCTGGTCTCCCTGACAGACAGAGATTGAGAACTGTTGAGAATAATTAGACCATCTG